ATAGAAAAGGAACTATTAGCCATAGTATGGGCTACCAAATATTTCAGACCATATATCTTTGGTCGGTTCCAAATCCTTAGCGATCATAAGCCACTAGTATGGCTACACAATATAAAAGAACCAAAAATGAAATTACAAAGATGGAAGATTAAATTAAACGAATACGACTATACTATTAAATATCTACCAGGAAAAGAAAACCACGTAGCAGACGCCCTCTCTAGAATCAGACTAGAAGAAAATCTTTTAGGAGAAGAAATTAGCAGCTCCCGAGCAACCATTCATAGTGCTCAGGAAGACAACCAAAACTTAATACCTATTTCAGAAAGACCTTTAAACTTATATAACAGACAAATTGAATTAATAAAACGTAACGAAGACAAAATCGACATAATACATTGTTTCCATAAAACAAAAATAAAAATAACATACATAGAAATGGCAGACACACTTGCCAAAGGCATAATTAAAGAATATCTTTGTTTAAAGAATAACGCCTTATACTTTCATCACCTCCCAAATTTCCTAATATTCCAAAAAGCTTACGCTGAAATTATAAATCCCGATAGTAAAACGAAAAAATTAAGAACTTTATCAAAATTACAAGATATCCTCACTTTTGCAGAATTTAAAGACACAATTCTTTCAAATCATAAGAAATTACAAAAACGACCAACTGGTTCAGAGAAAAATATTACTTTCCAGACCACCAAAATCTAATACAAAATATCATTAACGAATGCGAAATTTGTAATCTATCTAAAACTGAAAACAGAAACCCAAAAACTGACTTTCGAAATCACTTCAGAAGTATACAATCCCAGAGACAAATACGTCATGGACTTTTATTTAATCGACAACAAACAATTTGTATCTTGCATTGACATATATTCGAAGTACGGAAACTTAGTAGAAGTAAACAGTCGTGATTGGCTCGAAACTAAAAGGGCAATCATAAAAATCTTCAATGACATGGGAAAACCCATCGAAATCAAAGCAGACAAAGATTCAGCATTTATATGCGCAGCTTTCCAAGCTTGGTTACAATCCGAAAAAGTAAAAATCAATATCACTACTAGCAGAAACGTAGAAAGATTTCACCGAACAATTAACGAAAAACTAAGAATTATTAATACAGAATCCGACATAGAAAACAAACAGACGAAATTCGAAACCATTCTATACATTTATAGCCATAAGACAAAACACTTAACAACGAACAGAACCCCAGCAGACATATTTATATACGCAGGTACACCTGAATATGACACACAAGCAAACAAGATAAATCAAATAAAAAGTCTCAACAAAAACCGAATCGACTTCGAAATAGACACAGACTACAAACACGCCCCACTAGTTAAAACAAAAACAACGACACCATTCAAGAAAACAGGACAAATAACACAAACTGACGAAAAACACTACATAGAAACTAATAGAGGAAGACACCACACATTACAAATCGAAATGCAAAAGAAAAAAGAAGTCTAAGGAAAGTAAATATGACACCTAATTTCAGAAATCACCATATTACTGCTATCACTGTTATCAATGGCATCCCCCACCCTCAATCAAAGTATCGAAATCAACCCAATAGAAGCACCGAACGGCTATCTGGTTTTCAAAACAGGAACAATGGACTTACCATCGGACATTACCATTACTTAACAGTGAATTTAACGAAAATACAAAATACATATAACAACCTACTTAAACAGACAGAATCGTTTAAAGACATTACGCACATAGAATACTTTATCGACAAATTAAATCGCCAAATGAAATCATTAAAAGAAATAAACGAGGTTTAATAAATGCAATAGGAACAGTAAATAAATATCTTTTTGGCACTTTAGACCAAAACGACAAAGAAGAATTAGAGCAAATAATTAACAATTTAGCACAAAACAATGACTTAAGCTACTTAATAGACGCAGTAAATGAAAACATAGAATTACTTAATAACTTAACCATCTCACAAGAAGCAGACAAGAAACTAGATTATCTCATATTCAACATAGAACATTTCACAGAATACATAGAAGACATTGAATTAGGCATGCAACTAACCAGACTAGGTATTTTCAATCCCAAACTTTTACAACATCAGCATATGTTAGATATAAATTCTGAAAAAATTCTAAACATAAAAACTTCTACTTGGTTTAACTCAGATGAAATATTCATAATTTCGCATGTCCCGAAACAAATAAGCAAAACCCCACTTTATAAGATTACCTTACCCAGATAATCAATTACGATATACTATTAGGTAGAAATTACCTCTCGGCATCCAAAGCCTCAGATGAAATATTCATAATTTCGCATGTCCCGAAACAAATAAGCAAAACCCCACTTTATAAGATTACCTTACCCAGATAATCAAAATAATACATTAATAGAAAATACTTTTGAGACTTACTACATCTTAAATAATAAAGCATATATAAAAGCCACAAAAAAACAAGAAACAAACGAATGTATAAGTAGTATAATAACTCAAAGATCAGCAGAATGCAAATATACCAAAACATTTAAAACATACAAAATTAATTATATAGAACCAAACATTATTGTAACTTGGAACTACCCAAAGACAAAAATCATTCAAAATTGTAACAAAAATAATATTAATATTCAAGGTAATAACATTATTAAAATATATGATTGTAGCCTTCAAATAAATAACATCTCAATTGTAAACACACTATCAGACTACACCCAAATTATCTATGTAACAAATAATATCACAAAAGCAGAACCAATATCATTACTACATACAAACAAAGCAAATAGTTTTACAATATATAATAAGACATTCAATATTATAACCACTACAACTTTTATAATTACTATTATAAATCTAATACTATTTGTAATCATTAAATTTAAGACAATAGCTAGGAAAATTATCATAAGACATGAAACAGCCATAACATCAACATTCAACACCAGAAGAGCAACCACTCCCCGAAACTCATGTACCATTAGAAACAATACCACAATTGTACCCTAAAATTTCCGCCTGAAGACAGGCTAATCTCTTTAGGATGGGGAAGTAATATATCCATCAGCTCACCCACACTTAAACACAACACCAATGCCACGATCCCCTTCATCACTCAACATAAACAAATCGCCCAAGCGTCCACTTAGAAACAAATCGTCCCAGCGTCGACTTAGAAACAATCATCGCATCGTCCACTCATATAAACAAGTCGCACTCCAACGCACTCCAACCCTTCTCGTGGGAACTGCATATTCAGCATATTTGGGAGTCACCAATCAGGAGCGATCAGGCCATTCACTTTACCAAAATCACGCCACCATCGATATATATTTCTAGCTATATAAGACAAACAAATTTTCAATCATCAGTTCAGTTTCAATTCAGATCTAAGACCACTCTTACATCGCGTAAGAATAAATTTTTTTTTTTTTGTTTAAACCATAACGTCGGTCTTATTATTATATATATATATATATATTTTTTTTTTTTTTTTTTTTTTTCAAATTGAAATTAAAGTCTTTTTAAGTTCCTATAGTACTTAATATTGCAGCATATTACCGAGTGGAATATAAAACATTGTGCATTTCAGCAAAAAACAAAAAAAAATTTTAATTTCTAAACATAAGTTAGTGTTTATAATCTAGCTTGCTATTCCAACATTTCTTTTCAATTTTTAGCCAATTCTAGCCTGATTCTTGCTCAGCAACGGCGCTCAACGCGCAATAAAAGTTCCGTACAATTTTTTTGACGTTACTCGTTTTTCGTGTCGATTCGTTTCGTTTGTCTAGGGTTTTGTTTTACTCTCCTAAAGCGTAATATTTGGCGACTTTGAGTACCATTCTTGCAAACACATGCAAATATCAGTATATTTGGAAGACGACCGCATGCAGACCTCTAGTGGATAAAGCTCTGTCCGTTAGTCAGAAGATGTCAGAAGATATATTCAGTTTTGTTTTCGCGCCCATACCGAGTTTGTTTGTCGACAACTATTCCCGTTATTATACCATGAAGATATAATTTTGCATGCAAACCATACGCAATACAAGTTTACTTTATTTTTGTTGACAACACATCCAAATTTATTTATTGAAAACAATCGATAAATTGATTTTTTTCAGCCTAATTTGAACATTTTTAGACCTTGAGACTTCACATTTACCGTGTATATACATGTGATGAAAACAAAGATTTATTAATTTACAGATTTTTGATGTAACGCTCCCTTCACCACCATCACTTTGGAATATACACACATTTAAGCATTGTATTATGATCACGTTCTGATCATGAAGATAGCCCCACTACAATAGAAATTATTTAGCAGAGCGTGCAATTATGCATGTGTGTGGAAGCATGTTTATGTATATGTGCATGTGTGTGCAAGAGAAGTTCTTTGCATGGTTCAGGGTATCTCCTAATATTCAAATTACGAATTTAAAAAAAATCAAATTAACAATTATTGTTCATAAGAAAAAATTGTGATGGATTATCGAAAAAAAAAATATAAAAAGATCTGCTACGCCTCCTATTGCTAAAAAAATAAATTTACCCTGATTTACCATTTTCAATGAGTATACAAATAAAATAGAAGTCATTGTATTCGACACATATGTATGTAAATTTTCACATAGCCATAATACCCAGATTTTCTATTTTTAACACACAGACCTGATGGGGATCAGGGTATCTCATTGTAGATCACCTCGGACTATGGCTCATAGTTAGACAGATCTAACAAGCTCCCTTTCCCAAGCAGTAATATGAGGCAACTCCTACCGGCTTCAAATGAACTGTTGAAGAGTATTGAGAAATTTACGATCATCCCCCAACATCAAGCCTTTGAGAAGGTAAAAATCTTATGTCCTAACTACCTATAGGGTAGCTATGATATTATGTATCAATTCTAAATAAAAGGTATCGTGGTTCAATCGCATGATGTATCAAAAAATAATATGGATTAAACAAAAACAAACAAAGTAAGTCTTACCTTTCTTTAAGAGAATTCATTTGTTTTAAATCAAGACTTATAAGCTGATTTTTTTTCTTTATTATATTTTCAGTAAGCATAAGGTCAGAACGGTATCGGGAAGACATCACAGAGTACTTTTTATTGCCTAATAAAAAATATAAAATGTTGCTTTGATTTAATGAAGTATATTTGAAACGCTATGTTATCTTGTTTATCTCATACATGTAATCATTTTAAAATACATATTTTAAGAAGATATAACAATATATTCTTAATATTCAAATTAATATATAATATATCATGTATTAGTGATTGGTCTTATTACTTTCCACTTCAATTTAAATCAAACTTTGACTACATGCATTTTGGAGTGGAACACGAGTAAAATTTTAAGTGCATGCATATCTTTAGATCAAGATCTAGCATCAGACTTGAAATTGGGAGCACATACTCGTGTATATCACCGATTTATAAAGTGTTAAAATTCTCCCGATCCGCCCACTAGGGGCGTGGCAAATCGGAAAATGCATTTTCTGATTAGTTGAAGAGCTAGAAAGCAGAAACTTGGAATGTAGATTCGCGATTTGAATATACCTACGCCCATTGGGGGCGTGGCAAATCGGATAAAACTGTATCTCCTATAGTTCTAAAGCTAGAACGTTCTTGTCGATGGACTATCTTCATGAAACTTTTAAGCTAGGTACACACGATGCAAACAATTTGCAGCAAGTTGATTTCTGCAATCAAATTTGTATGTTTGAATACGAGTGCAAACATTTTGCTGCAAACAAAAAATTTGTTTGCGGCAACTTTTTTTTGCTTGTCGTCTGAACATGGTTGCGTCAGTTGCTTGCTTGTTTGCATGAGCTGTTTTTTTTTTGCAATATTGCAGCAAGCAAAGCAAAATGTGGGATCGCGAGAAAACGATTGAATTATTTGAATTGTACGAGAATTTTTGAGTTTTATGGGATGTTTCGATAGCAGACTTTAACAAGTAAGAGGACTCTAGTCGAGACTGCTCGACTAGGAGATACCCTAAACCCTCTAATCTGATAGTCACTCTGCACTTCTTTTCGTCACACATACATACACACGCACGTATTAGAACGCGCTCTGCTAACTGCGCAGTAAGCAGCGACTGCGCATGGGCTGCGCTGTAGTGTGGGCAACATTATAAGAATTTATTTGTTGAATAATTTAATTTCTAGACGTACATTCTTAATGAAACTTTCAGAACATAATCATAATGTTCAAATGTATGTACATTCCAAAGCACAAGTCTCTAGTACATGAAATACGTCTTTTACAAAGGTGAGGGTGAGGGGGTGGATATAAGAGTGGGGGGAAAATTACAACAAAAATCGAAAATATATAAAATATATATAAGTCTACATTTAAAATTTGGAATCTCTAGCTCTAAAGGTGTAGGAGATATAATTAAATAACTAGCATTCTATAAGGTTTTTGATCGATAATAAAATATCGGGAGTAGTTATCGATATTTAAAGAAAAACTTTATATGCGCGAGTTACGTACAAACCCACTCCACTTCCAGAACAGAACGCAAACTCAATCATTCAACTAAATTCAATAAGTCAGCAGGTACAAGAGTTATTGAACTCTATGAATGTTAAGTAAATTATGTTGCGACAGAGTTTATCAACCTCTTTATTTTGCAAGTTACACATTCAGCTAAATTCATTAAGTCAGCAGATACAAGAGTTATTGAACTCTATAAATGTTAAAGTAAACTATGTTGCGACAGAGCTTATTAATCTCTTTATTTTGCACACTAAGTATCCGGTGTCGCAACCAAAACTGCAATGCCCCAATTTCATGTAATGCCGACATAACATATATTGTAAGACACATTTATGTAGACTAAGCACTTTATGTAACATTTATATTGAGTACATTTCGAATAAACGAGTGAGTTGATTCTGACCACTGAATAATACACGTCGTGCCGTGAAGTTATTATTTTTTTTTAGCAAACCGCTTTGCAGTTTACTTAATTGGCGCAGCCGGTAGGATCCTTTTTCGTTAAAAAGGATTCAGTGATAAAAAATCGAACCGAACAAAAAAAAAACAAAAACAAAAATAAATAAAGAAATAAACGTAAACGGTAAAAACAAAGCTAATAAATATAATAATAACATAAATAAATACATATATATATATATTTATCGGCCGACGGAAAAACATTTTTTAATCAGTGCAGTGCAAGCCCAACTACAAATAAGTGGGCAAGTGTCACGGTGAATAACTCCAGAGCAGTGCAGACCCAACTACAAATAAGTGGGCTAGTGTTACTGTGAACTAAAAATCAGTGCAGATACATAAAAATCCAACTACAAATAAGTTGGCAGTGCCGTTATAAACAATTTCCAACCTGGCATTGAGGAAGTTACAGAGGGCCCAGAGATACGACGAGGCAAGAATGGCAACGAACAACGCCCAAACCCCTCAGGCAGAGTTAGTGGAACAACTGGCCATCAGGGAGCGCCAGCTGGAGCAGTTACAACAGGCATATGTGCAGCTCCAGGCTAACAATGGAAACATAGCGCAGAAAGAAAGGCTATTCAAAAACATCAACCATCTAGCGACGTTTACCGGCACTGGGGACATAACTATCAACTCCTTCTTCAGCAGTGTGGAACACTTGCTAGGGAGTATAGTTGACCCTGAACTAAAAAAAGAAGCGACCAGATCCATATATTACAAAACAATACAAGGACAAGCGAAGGATGTCGTCATCAACATACCAGCCCCGGACGATTGGGAAATGATAAAATCAACGCTAAAGCTACGCTACAGACCAGACACGGAACCGCACCAGATCTACCAACGGATCTGTCATTTGAAGGTGAACACGGTGAGCGAGCTGGCCATCGAGCTACAAAATATTAAATATAAGACAGATGAATTAATTGTATATCATAAGCATGATAATTTTATAGATTTGAGCAATGTAGAAAGTCTTTTAGTAAATACTGCAAAGGAGATGACACAGGGTACCTTATTAGACAAAATTTATGAAGAAAGAGAATTAGGGAACATTATGAGAATTATGACAAGCAGGAGGTTTGAAAATAGCTGTATCAGGTATCAATATAGGAAAAACCGAGTGAATCAGACTCCAATCGAAAACAATCAATCAGGTAGACGCAATCAGAACCAAGCAAATAATAACTATAACTACAATAGGAATAATGTTCCGCCACAAAATAATAATTACGGTCAACAGAACCAGTTTAATCAAAACAATAGGCCTCAGAGATATCAAGAGACAAGATACCAAGGCAGCAAAATCCTTTCAAGGGAAATCAATCAGGACAAAGTAGACAGACTAACAATTACTATCAAGGCAATAATAATCAACAAACGCAGAACCAGAGATCAGGTTCCGGACAGAGTAGGAATTTCAGATCAAATGAGGTAGTACCAATGGAAATAGATAACGTAGAAGCACATAACAACAGATACGAAGACAATCAGTACGGACGAACTGCTTCTAACTACGAACAAAACCAATACTCGAACGATGACTACGAACAAAACATGAACCATGCAGTTTTTTTTATGAAGCAGCCTCGGAACACTTACCAATAATAAAAATAACAATAGACAATAGGGCTTACTTAGCTTTGGTAGATACAGGAGCAACTTTAAGTCTAGCAAACGAACACCTTGATTCTTTCAAACGTATAAAACTTAACGACCCCATACCATATAGCACCATAACAGGCAGAGAAGTAATTAACTATGAGATACATACCACAGCCCCAAGAGAGTTTAATTTACCTAGTAATGCTAGAATCAGATGGAAGATAGCACCATTGAAAGGCAGAAAGTATAACTTCATAATAGGTATAGATCTATTAAACTATTTGAACACATTTATAAATTTAGAACGAAAGATAATAACACTTAACCAAAAAGAAAGCTATTTTATCAATAATCCGTACGTATATGAAGAAATAAGTACATTAGAACAGACAGACACGACGTTCGAAAATTTACAACTGGGACATCTAAATACGGAAGAAAGAAAAGAAATACAAAAAGTAATAGAAAAATTCGCAAAATTATTTTTTAGAGAGGGTGACAATCTGACTAGCACGACAGAAATAGAACATGAGATACGAACAACTACCGATGAACAGTTAAATTCCAAATTATATAGATACCCTCCAAAACATGAGGAAGAAGTTAGGAACCAAATCAAAGAAATGGAGAGGCAAGGAATAATTAGGAAAAGTAATTCTCGTTATTCAAGCCCCCTCATAGTAATCCCAAAGAAAATAGATAATTCGGGAAAGAGAAAATACAGAATTGTAATAGATTACAGAAAACTAAACGAAATAACAATAGATGACAAGTTTCCGATTCCAAACATCGATTCAATTTTGGACAAACTCGGGAGAGCTCAATACTTTACGACGCTAGACTTAGCCAAAGGCTACCATCAAATTTTGGTTAAGGAAGAAGATAGGAAGAAAACAGCATTTGTAACGCCACATGGCTTGTATGAGTTTATAAGAATGCCATTCGGGTTGAAAAATGCCCCGGCCACCTTTCAAAGACTTATGAACGAAATTTTAAGGGATCACATAAACAAAAAATGCGTTGTATATCTAGACGATATACTAATATTTAGCACTTCTTTGCAAGAACACATTCAAGCAATTACCGAAATTTTCCAAATCTTAGAAGAAAAAAATTTAAAAATCCAGATAGATAAATGCAATTTTATGAAAAAAGAAACAGAATTTTTAGGACACATTCTGACAAAGGAAGGTATTAAACCAAATCCAAATAAAATAGCTATTATAGAAAAATTAGCATTACCTCGAACAGAAAAGCAGATAAAAAGTTTTCTAAGTATAACGGGCTATTACAGAAAATTCATTAAGGACTATGCTAAAGTAGCACAACCAATAACAAAATACTTAAAGAAAGATGCGAAAATTAATACAAAAGACCCCACTTATGTAGAAGCATTTGAAAAACTGAAACACCTGATCAGTTCACATCCCATACTTAGATTCCCCAACTTTGATAAAACTTTTACTCTAACAACTGACGCATCGAATTATGCTATAGGGGCAGTGTTAATCCAAGAGGGTCATCCAGTTTGTTTTG